GCTTTTGTTCTCTTTTAGCACAACATGTATTGCAGGTACTGCACCATTCTTCCACATCTTGTCTCATACCTATCCAGTAAAATCTCTGCCATAGGTGACTCAATGTCTTCTTAGCTCCAAGAAGTCATTCTGTTAAACTATCATGGGATTGACGCATCTCAACTTCCCGTAACTTTCTCGGTATAACTGTTTGCCAGGTCGTCACTTTCTCATCTCCGGACAAGAATACCATCTTCAAGCTTCAACTGGTCCCATTGTGTCCAATAGTTCTTTGTTACAGGGCTTAAGCTAGACACCTTCTCCCAAGCATGGCGCAAAACACTTGCTTTTAGAAAATCAATTATTGGCTTCAAATCTTTGTCTCTCTCCTGTTCTGCTTTAATATCTATATTTGGTTACACTTCACCATCATCAACTCCTTCAGCCACTTTGACTTCAGCTTGATGACACCGGAATTTGGCCTTTGTTGTTCCCAAACGTCATTTTATCAAAGTTAATTACACACTTCCTCGGTAGTTAGTAGTCCAACCCTAGTATGCATTGGTTTTCAATGTCAGCCAAGTATGCAGAACAGCATGGAAAACTCTTCTACCAACAAACACAGTGTAGAAAATACATGTAACAATAAACACAATAAAGAAAACATTTCTACCAATAAATATAGTTAAGAAAACACTTCTACCAATAAACATAGTACAGAAAAACTTCTAGCAATAAACGTAATACAGAAAACACTTTTACCAATAAACACTACAAAAACACTTTTACCAACAAACACTACAAAAAACACTTGTACCAATAAACACTACAAAAAACACTTGTACCAATAAACACTACAAAAACGCTTTTACCAACAAACACTACAAAAAACACTTGTACCAATAAACACTACAAAAAACACTTGTACCAATAAACACTACAAAAACACTTGTACCAATAAACACTACAAAAACACTTGCACCAATAAACACTACAAAAGCACTTGCACCAATAAACGTAGCAGAGAAAACACGTTTACCAATAAACACTACAAAAACACTTGCACCAATAAACACAGTACAGAAAACACTTCTACCAATAAACACAGTATATTATGATTTTCGTCTTGTAACTCCTAACAATGAATACATATTTTAACTTCTGACAATATACCTAGAAGACAAAGCTTAATAATAAACACAGTAGTTTCACCATAATTAACCTTTAACTTATGTTATTGATGTATATACTCTTCCTTCACTGCAGGAGGAAATCGCCGCTCTCAATTTGGCCAAATTCCGAAAGGTCCAACAAGAAATGGAAGATGCTGAAGAAAGAGCTGACATGGCAGAGAACGCCCTGGCTAAATTACGGGCCAGAAACCGTAGCTCAGTTTCTGCAGGTCGAGGAATGAGTCCAGGGGTAAGTACAAAACGTTTTAACTGATTGAAGAAATGTCCCCAAGAGGGAAGACTTCATCTTTCATCTTGAAAATGGTTGAAGTACTGGATGTTTTTATCAATGAAGAAATTTTTTCCAGAGGAAAGTTACCATCCTTGAAATTTAAAATTTTTAACCGACGAAGAAGTGTTCCCCTGATGGAAGCCATCATTCCCTCATCTTACAAACAGTTAGAGTATTACCAAACATTTAACTGATGAAGAAGTGTCCCCCTGATGGAAGCCATCAACCCGTCATCTTACAAACGGTTAAAGTATTACCAAACATTTAACCGATGAACAAGTGTCCCCTGATGGAAGCCATCAGTCCCTCATCTTACAAACGGTTAGAGTATTACCAAACATTTAACCGATGAAGAATTGCCCCCAGAAGAAAGACCATCCCTTCATTATGAAGGCAATTATAGAGTAAAATGTTTGATAATATTTCTAGAAATTCAAGGAAACGTTATAGCGTTTTTTTAAAAACTACTAAAATAATTGTATTATATATATTTTGTTAGACGACTGAATACTGAAGTTCATGACAGCTTATTATTTGTTGAATTACTGAATACTTTCTATGGTGACTGAAGTTCATGACAGTTCATTGTTTGTTAAATTACTGAATACTTTTTACGGTGACTGAAGTTCATGACAGCTCATTATTTGTTGAATTACTGAATACTTTCTATGGTGACTGAAGTTCATGACAGTTCATTGTTTGTTGAATTACTGAATACTTTCCACGGTGACTGAAGTTCATGACAGCTCATTATTTGTTGAATTACTGAATATTTTCTGCAGTGACTGAAGATCATGACAGCTCATTATTTGTTGAATTACTGAATACTTTCTGCAGTGACTGAAGTTCATGACAGCTCATTATTTGTTGGATTACTGAATACTTTCTGCAGTGACTGAAGTTCATGACAGCTCATTATTTGTTGGATTACTGAATACTTTCTGCAGTGACTGAAGTTCATGACAGCT